CCTGATCTGCCCACCTGACACTGACTGACTTACTGACTGACTGGCGAGCTCCAGCTCACACCAAATGACCAATAGGAACACAAACTATTGAAGGTTGCACCTCTGTCCAGGGCGGAGCAGCCCAAGCAGATAAAATGTATTGTAAGACCTTAATTCGGGGTTGAGAGAATGGAACTCCTGCGGGAGCTCCATCTCTCTGATCCCAGCGCTGTAAGGCCTACCTGTGATCAGACATTCAGTAAACTTTCTGTTGATTTTAAACAGTCCTCTCCTGTCTTCACTTCTCGTGCTTCCAACAAAAGAATCGGGTTAATTTCTAACAGTGGTATGATCCATAACCAGCTTCCTCTGTAGTCGTATGAATCCTATTAGCTGATATGTGCAGTGAGGTCCCAAAGCAGGCTGTTTTGATCACTTACATCTGTTTGAGAAGGCGGCCTTCCACTTGTAACTCTCAACACTGGGTATCAGAGACAAATTTTCCCACAATATGAAAAGAAAATGTGGATATTCCAAGCAGCTGGCCATATCTTACATTTTTTGCTTGCAATTAGAGATTTCCTTAAAGCTACAATAAGGATTAATTCAAAATCTAGCTAGTGCTAGTATGAGACTCTAGAATTAATAACCTCTGCTGCTCCCAGCCCTGCCTCTCCCTGCTCACTCTACCCAACCCTTTGTAAACGCAAAATCTCTCACAGTATCACTGTTTGGAGAGGTTATTGGCCAGCACTCAACTGGTGGGCATTAAAATAACGTAACTTACCAAGCTGACTGCCCTGCTTGATGTGTACTGTAAAACAGCACAAATATGTAGCAACCTCCACTATACAGCTGGACATGACACATTTACAGCCAACACAGTTTCTGATAATTGGCAGAGAAATAAAAGTGGGTCCTGCATGTCCACAGAAAAGGTTTGTGAAGCCATTTTACATGGTTACATCACAAAAACACTCAGCCACTGAAGTTTTTCTATCATATATAGGACACATGTTGTTCGAAAACACCTCTGAAATTGAATTAAACACATTGTCAAGTGTAGCTACATCTGAAGAGAGAGAAACAAGGCAAATAACACAACTATCACCGCAGCTGCTGCAGGTGCCAAACCAACAGGGCAGACAGCCAGACTCTCAGGGAAAATGACCA